TTTTTTTTTTTTTTTTTCTTTGATTTGGTCGCTGATATTATTTGAAAGGGTGTAAGCCAGTTTGATTGTAAATGATTAACAACTTTGAAATTATTTTAATACAAAAACCATGATATATTTGATAATTAATTAATTATCCTACTTATTTGTTGCGAAAAGACAAACACAATTTCACAAATTCGGTATTTTTATTTAATAATTATCCAGCTTGTATTTGTGTAGCATAAAATTAAAGGAGTGACGCGTTGGGGAGAGAGAGCTAATTTATAAAATAAAAATAATGAGTTCTACCAAATATCAAATTACTTAATGATATAGCTTAATTAATTTCATTATCAAATAAAGCCCAATAAATAATTTTTTGCCAAACTTTTGGACTAATATTCTAATACATGGGCAGCACATATATATAAAATTACTTGTCACTCTTTTCTTTTTGGCTTTTAATTAGTATAGCATAATTAGCATTAAAAATATAGAAGACATACATAATTATATAATGAAAAAAAAAATACTTGTTAGAAATAATATAAAGTCTGAATTATTCATAAAATAATGTCGTGGAGTCTAAATGTTTTCTATTTCGTTTAAGGAACCTTAAACGAAATAAAAAACATTTAGAATTTTGTAACGAACACCATTCGAACAATTTTCCAAAGATTAATTAAAGCTCGTCTTCTACATGTTCCACATCAGTTATTTAAATAAAAATATCATTTATCGACTATAAAATAATGTCAAATTTTTATAATCGGGGCATCAAGGATGTTGTCCACACAGTGAAACACACCATAATAGGGTGATCCTAGTTGCACCTTAACGAGGTTCCATCCCAAAATCAATTGGTGATAAGAGGAGTAACTCACTAGACATGTATACTAGACACATTTAGTCTATCAAAATCAACGTGAAACGACTCGCACAAGTAATATTCCAACAAATAATGAAAAATTACATATTCACCTAACATAAAAAATAAAAAGTACACTATATATATAAGTCAAAATTCGAAATTTAGACGTGAATAAAGTAACCAAATGAAGATAATATAAAACACTAATATTTTTTATATTATTTTTACATGATCAAATAAAGCACTAGCAATTAGCAAAAGCCCAACAAAACACGGTCTTTAAGCCTTTTTACCTATTTATTTGTCCTATATAAGTAATGACCAACCCAAGTACACAACCACACCAACTAATTATCTCTCTCTCTCTCTCTCTCTCTCTCTCTCTCTCTCTCTCTCTCTCTCTCTCTCTTCACTGATGAGGTGTTAATTAACTTAATAAATACACAGTTGATTATTAATTAATTAAAGCTCTAATTATGGATCAAGAACATAATAAGCTGGAATTAGGAGATGAAGAAAAATGGGTTTATGATTCTTCAGTTGATTACAAAGGAAGAGTTCCCATTAGATCTTCAACTGGTGCTTTCAAGGCCGCACTTTTTATCATAGGTAATTATTATTATTTTCTATTTTTTTTTTGTCTTATATGAACAAATTGCAGATATTATATATATATATATATATTTAAAATATATGTTGTTTTCTTTTGCAGCATCTTTTATTTCCTTGTATTTTTTTAAGGATTTTTGAGCCAATAATTAGTGATAATTATTTGCATGTGTATTTGTTAGTTGTTCCACATTTATTACTTCCAAACTGAACCTCATGAACTAGGATTCCTTAAAGTAATTATGAGATGAATCTTATAATTACACATTTTATTGTTATCAAATCATAGGTAATAAATGGATAATATTTTTAATGGCTTGAAATATATAATGTCCCTAGTTAATTGAATATTTTTATTTTCTTTCCCTCCTGTGCTGATCACTGATAGAGCTGTAGCACAACTCGACTCGTTAATGAGCATGACCGAGCTAAGCTCAAGTTTTAATATCAACAGTTCAAGCGCTTGAAGTTTAATCACCATAAACATCATTGTCGGAATCTATAACTGGTACCAACCTAACAAGTACGAGGTAGAAAAGACATAAGAATCAATTAATAAGACCTCCCACAAACTTATATATTAAGCAATTCGATATTATTTGATTTTTCTTATTAGTCTTAATTATATTTTCATTTTACACATTTTATCTTTACATATATTTAGTATCACAATTATGGACAATACAAATCTAGCTATTAAACATTCAAAATATTTTAATAGATGTGCATATTTTTACAAAATAATATAAATAACAGTATGATATTTTATTATATAATTATGATTTTTAATTGTTACGAATTAAAACATTACGGTTTCTCACAAGCCAGTTTTTAGGATAAGATAAGATCACTGGATAAATGTCAAACACTGTTGCAAAAAGTCAACTCTACTTGACTTATATTACTATTTACTTTTTGACTGGTCAGTGCAAAAGAACGTCAAACATTATTGTACAAAGTCAACTCTAGTCGACTTATTGTTACATTTTTCTTTTTTGTCTTAAGTCCAGCTCAGCCCGCACCAACAACATCTCATCACCAGTCCGTCACAAAGACATCATCGTACATCAATTATCGAAAATCAATTTCAACCAACATAAAAACTAAATTTGTCCGAAAATGATTTATTTTTTAAATGATTATAATTCAAGGATTTGTGAAATTAAATTAAATTAATGTTTCCCATCACTTTATATATTCACTTATTTTCATATATTTTTTTTTGGTTATAAAACAGCAACTGAATTCAGTGAGAGGTTGAGCTACTTTGGACTATCATCAAATTTGATCATATACCTAACAAAAGTGATCAAACAAGACCTTACGACAGCAGCCAAAAGCGTCAACTATTGGTCTGGCGTCACCACATTGATGCCCTTGCTCGGCGGCTTTCTAGCCGACGCTTATTTCGGCCGATTTTCTACTGTCTTAGCCTCGTCGATCATCTACCTCTTTGTAAGTTTACATAATCTTCACTTTAGTTAGATTCTGCTTCGAAAATGTATGAGTTGCCTGGTGATCTGGTATGGTCAAGTCTGCCTAACAATACTCAACAGGGGTTGCTGGCGTTGACAATGTCGCGAGTGATCCCGGGCCTGGAACCGTGTGGGCTCGGGCCCTGTCTGGAGCCCCGGAAAATACACGTCATTGTTTTTTTCCTAGCCATGTACTTGATCTCGATCGGGACTGGTGGGCACAAGCCCTCGCTCGAGAGCTTTGGGGCCGACCAGTTTGACGACGACCACGCGGGGGAGCGGAAGAAGAAGATGTCGTTTTTCAATTGGTGGTGTTTTGGGCTTTGTTGCGGGCTCCTGCTAGGGGTGACCGTGATCGTCTACGTTCAAGACCACATTGGGTGGGCCACGGCTGATGTTATTTTGACGTCCGTTATGGCATTCACGGTCGTGATATTCTTGATCGGGAGGCCGTATTACCGGTTCCGGAGGCCCAACGGGAGTCCCCTGACTCCTCTGCTTCAGGTTTTGGTGGCGGCTTTCTTAAAGAGGAATCTCGAGCACCCGTCTGAGCTCGATAAGCTTCACGAGGTTCCGCGCTCGGGCAAGGACAACGGGATGAGGTTTCTTGTCCACACGGAGAGGCTCAAGTAAGAATACATCTAATATTGATAGTGTTGTTGTTT